CAAAAGCGTTCATGTTCCTCTGCCACAAAGCAACTGCACCTTCATCGCCTGTCATCTGAAGCACTGCACCTTGAACATAGTCTTGGGCAGGGGCGGGGGGGGACAAAAGCGTTCATGTTCCTCTGCACACAAAAGCACTGCACCTTGATCGCCTGTCATCTGAAGCACTGCACCATGAAAGAGATGAGTTGAGATGAGTTGAGTGAGATGAGTTGAGTGGCAGTTGGGTGAGGTGAGTTAAGTCAGATGAGTTGAATGAAGTTGAGTGAGGAACGCTGAGTGAGATGAGTTGAGTGAGTTCAGTTGTGTGAGATGAATTGAAAGAGTTGAGTTGTGTGAAATGAGTTGGGTCCAAGCGCACGCCGGCAGTCCCCATAGCACGCAGAAGCAGCTCCAGGAGCACCACGTGCTGCTGCCTGCAGAAAGTCAAACTCTCGCGCCTGCCACACGAGAGCAACTCCAGCAGCCCGTGCTGAGCCTGCTACACGAAAGCAGCTCCACCAAATGCTACACGAAAGCAGCTCTTGAGTGAGTTGAGTTGTGTGAGATGAGTTGTGTGAGTTGTGAAATGAAAGGAGTTGTGTGAGATGAGTTCTGTGAGTTGTGAGATAAGTTGTGTGAAAGAACTTGGGTGAAGTTCAGCGAGAGGACACGAAAGCAGCTCCACCAAATGCCACACGAAAGCAGCTCTTGAGTGAGTTGAGTTGTGTGAGATGAGTTGAGTGATATGAGTTGTGTGAGTTGAGTTGTGAGAGATGAGTTGTGTGAGATGAGTTATGTAAGTTGTGAGAGGAGAGGAGTTGTGTGAGATGAGTTGTGTGCGTTGTGTGAGAGAACTTGGGTGAAGTTGAGTGAGAGGAGGAACAACGGAGGAGGAGAAGGAGGAGAAGGCGCGGAATGCAAGCCTAAAAACAAAAAACCCACACAGAGATGTGAGGAAAAAACCCACACAGTGATGAGTTGTGTGATGATGTAAAGAAAAAACAGCAACAAGAAGAATCATGTTACAGAGATACAATGACAAAATCACACAAGAGTAACGTGCACAGACGACCAACTTCTGACGTGCACAAGCGACCCACTTTTGACATGCACAGACGACCCCTGAACCGCATATCTCCCCATCTTTTGGTAGGGTGAAGCCAAGTGGCCCATTGTTGGTTGGTGAAATTTTCCCTTTCCATCAGGGCATAAAACAAGCAATTGACGTTGACGTTGGATGATGTTCCTTGAAAACATATGCCTAATCATCCAAATCATTCATGGTTGACATGACTATATATCATTATATATCCATATTATCCGACGCTGTCCCCATCTTTGTTTGGTTCTTGCAGTTTATTATTTGCTGGGCTCCCCTATTTCCATCCATTTCCTTTCCATTTCCATGACTATGTAGTTGATCTGTGGTCCCTAATGTCTTCAGTGCTGACCCATGGGTCATATATAGTCACCATCCCCAATAGTTGCAGCTTCTGGCTTTTCATCTCTATATGGATTATGGATTCATACTATGGTTTGTATACGTTCCCTTCAAGGATATATGTATCATGTTACGGGCATTGTTTATTCACTAATCTATACGGTTCTGTACCACATCAACATTTCAAAGCTGGTTCCCCCCAGGTATAAGTGGGTTTATACCCCTATCTCTCTATAGATAATGTCTACCATAAACTCTGCTTATGTTGTCTACTTTTTAACCAACTTGGCGATTCCGAACGGGGCCTCCAGCAACACGAATCCCATCCTCCGTTCATCCCGTCCCCTACATCCACCATGGTTTCTGGAAGGTGCGTGTAATACTGTGTATAGTTGAACCGGGGAAGGGATTATTGATGGCGTAATAACATGCAATAACAATGATTTAACATAGCAGCAAAGATTAATAATGCCATCACAGTAATAAGTACGTTTCTTTCTTTCTGGGCGATTTGAAGCTCAGCTGCTCGCCAACGTGACACTTGGAATTCCGATGCAATCTTACTTGGGCCTTTGCATGTCTCTGAGGCACAGACCTTGCAATAAATAAACATAAAAAGGAAATAAATCAAAAAAACAAACAAATAGATAAAAACACATAAAAAGAAAAACAAAATACCTGCAAAGAACCATGCAAGTGTGAAACACTTGGCTATAGAAAAACAGTCTCTCTCACGCTACCATGCGTCGCCGTCTCCTCCCGTACTTTGAAAAGCTGCGCCTTCCTGCTCAGGCTGGTTGTGTTCCCAACATTGGAATTGACGCAGCGCAGTTGCTTTTGCAGTCTTACGCGGCCTGGGCTAAATCTTGTGGTCGTCCTTTCTTGGTTTTGTTTTTGGACATTGCTTCAGCCTACTATGCGGCCTTGCGTCCTTTCGTTTGTAGGGGACCCCTACACATGATTTGCAAATCCCCCAATTGTTTCGTGACAACGGGTGGAGCCCAAACATGCTGCATGAGTTCGTGGCTGCGTTGCATGAAGCTGACGCCCTGACACAAGCAGATGTTCCTGCACATATGAAGTGCCAGATTCGGTCAGCGCTTTTTGGTACTTGGTTCACGCTTCGTCGGCAAACAGCAGCCCTCACTGCCACATCTCAAGGCACCCGCCCAGGGGATCCTCTGGCTGACCTCCTGTTTGGTTTTTTGAGTGCCCGTTTCAGTCGGATGGTTGTTGAGTCTTATATGTATGTATACGGTCTGTGCGCATTCCTTCCTCCCCCTTGAAAGGGGGTCGGCGGCACCAGGGCGTTAGCCCATTTATATGAAGATGTGTAGATATGAGGATGAGATGTGTAGATGTGAAGATGGGAAGATGTGAAGATGAGATGTGAACATGTGAAGGTGCGAAGATGTGAAGATATGAAGATGTATAGCAGACCTCCACTATTAGAAGAACCCTTCGCTCAGACGCTCTCGGGAAAAATGTTGGGTAACGCTTCTCTCGTCGTATCCGCCGTCTGTCTGAATTGACATGTTACGGGGTACTCAGATTAATGATTAATGATCAATGTGTTCATATATTTGTCCTGCCGCGGAACTTTCGCAGCAACCATTTTGGGCAAGACCTGGCGCGGATCTTTCACAGCTGTGGGTTTTAGCTGTCGCGAAAGCATGTTACTTTAGAGACGTGATCCGGAGAGAGGTCTGCAGAGTTGGTTTCGACCAGCGAAACCCGAAACCCGAAACCCGAAACCGACTCTGAAGAGGACCGATCGAAACCCGAAAGCCGAAACCCGAAACCCGAAACCGACTCTGAAGACTTACCTTCCCCAGGGCCGATCGAAACCCGAAACCCGAAACCCGAAACCTGAAACCGACTCTGAAGACTTACCTTCCCCAGGACCGATCGAAACCCGAAACCCGAAACCCGAAATTCGAAACCCGAAACCCGAAACCGACTCTGAAGACTTAACTTCAGGGCCGATCGAAACCCGAAAACCCGAAACCGGAAACCGACTCTGAAGACTTACCTTCCCCAGGACCGATCGAAACCCGAAACCCGAAACCGACTCTGAAGACTTAACTTCCCCAGGGCCGATCGAAACCCGAAACCCGAAACCGACAGCGAAAGTGGGTTTCAATCGACGAAACCCGAAAACCGAAACCCGAAACCCGAAACCGACAGCGAAAGTTGGTTTCAAGCGACGAAACCCGAAACCCGAAACCGACTCGAATCCGACTTTTGGGTGGCTCTCCGGATCGGAACTCTTACTTTAACATCCCTTCAAACTCATCTCTTTGTGGGTTTTGGCGCTTGCTCATTTTCTGCTCCGCTTGACCAGGGGCACCAGGATGCCATGTCACAGAAAAAAAAGCGTTTCTTTTTGAGAACGCCAGACAACCTGAATCATTAGCATGACACAATTTCGATAACTTTCATCTTGTTGTCGCGGCCTCCCACTTTCAAATTTTCAATGAGGAGTGGTAAAGTCGAATTTGGCGTGACATTGAAGCCTGCAACTCCTTGAAAACCTGGCTGCAACAAGTTCCGGCCAGCATCTGAGAAAAAGGTTTCTGACTGCGACACTTTGGCAGCGCTGGCCCATAGACCTGGAATTGTCACATTCCTACCATTCAAAAAAATTAACTCCTCAAGTATGTAAAGGTGAATGTAGGGCTCTGCCGGAAACACAGCTCGACCTGCATTAAAGACCCAGGTTCCGTTGAAATCCATCCTGGTTTTCCAGGGCGGTCTTCGTACAAGGTCCAATTTCCTTTGAGAATCTTCGGCTGAACTGTCGATGAATGGACAGCCGAAAGGACAGAGCATGGGTACATGCAGCGAGGGAACCTGTTGCGGTACTTCGCTGGGTGCAATGCTTTACTAAAATCCCGCTTCAGATCCATGTCTTCCACTTTCATATTCAACATGTGGTCCCAAACCTTCCCCAAGCTGAAGGCCAGCATGTCTGCAACTGCCTGATGGGTTTGGTATGTTGGGTGTGCATGCCTGGCTGTCCAGAGCTGTGGAACTGCTTCGACGGCCCTTGCAAAATCCAAGTAAGGGACGCCATAAAAATTCAGCACTTGCCGGTGCGCCTGCGCACTGGCAATGCACGGGGGGCAGCCTGCCTCTATTGCAAGAACAGCACTGCTGGGTGCAAGCTGGCACAAAGATCTAAGAAATTCTTCAAAAGCTACAGAGATGGTAAGGTGAAAGAAAGTCCATGTCGCTATGCTGGGAACCGCTTGCCTTGCTCAACCGGTGGTTCTCATTATACGCATCGTTCACCAATGTATCGACCGAAATGAGGTCCACATCGCTGAAATTGTACAATCCAATCCCCCCCAGAATGACTGCTGACGGGCTGCCACCTTGCGCTTTATTCTGCAAATCAATGGCGGCCAGTGTTGGACCCGCGCCGGCCAAGCGCATTCAGCTTCTGGGCCGTGTCGAATTGGATTATTTCGCCAGCACTGTGCACCACGTGTGAATGAACCTCCAAACACCTAACAGTGGTCTGACAAAACCCAGCAAAGGGGCCATGCTTGGGGGTTGCCACCCTCATGCTTGTGACGCTTCTTTTGAAATTGAATGTATACCACACTTGCCTCACTCGACCTGAACATATGCAATTGAAAAAACACTGCAAGAACAATTGCGCTTACTTCTCATGTTTCACAATTTTCTTTTGCGGGCGCCAAAGGATGTCTTGGCTTTCAAAGGAAAGTTCGGAGAGAAACTTCCGTGGGACTAACGTTCAGAAACATTAACAAAATCTTTGCGAATCGTGGCAGGGCACCCCTTCGATCCAAAATTTTGGCCACTGAACTACTAGGTCAACGACCATTTCGCGGCCGTGGGAAAAATGCTCATGATGTGAATAGAAAATCAGCACGCCGCTATAGCGAAACAATGATTTTGCACATCCGGCATGTGAAAATGCATCATCGTCGTTTCAGAAAACTACTTGTTTTTTCATCATGATAATGAACATCATCTTCATCATCATCATCATCATCACCATCATCATCTTCATCTTCATCTTCATCATCATCACCATCATCATCATCATCACATCGTCACCATCATCATCGTCATCATCATCATTATCATCATCATCATAAGCATCATCATCTTCAGCATCATCACTATCATCCCCAGGATCATATAGATCGTCAGCAGCTGCAGCGTCAGTTTCTTCCTTCAGCATCCAAAATGTGTGCCACTTACAAGGACTTTAACATGCCCCACCCCCCCCAACCCTTCATTACACGTAGAGCGCTAGAACCAAATCCAACATCTGTCCACGTACAAGGAACGTTAACATGCCCCACCCCACCCCAACCCTTCAGTAACGTAGCATCCAACATGTGTGCAACGTACAAGGAACGTTAACATGCCCCACCCCAACCCAACCCTTCAGTAACGTAGCATCCAACATGTGTGCCACTTACAAGGAACGTTAACATGCCCCACCCCACCCCAACCCTTCAGTAACGTAGCATCCAACATGTGTGCCACTTACAAGCAACGTTAACATGCCCCACCCCACCCCAACCCTTCAGTAACGTAGCATCCAACATGTGTGCCACTTACAAGGAACGTTAACATGCCCCACCCCACCCCAACCCTTCAAAAACGTTGAAAACGCAGAAAAAAACCACTTCGTGCCACGGCCGTGCAGTGGTCGGTGTCCAACTACTCACTTGCGCCCCCAAAATTTTCTCACTTGCGCCCCTTACTCACTTGCGCCCCCCTCGACTCACTTACGCCCCAAACTACTCGCTTGCGCCCCCCTCCCGACTCACTTGCGCCCCCTGGCCTTCCACAATGCCATCATCTAACATCTACCTCTTTATTTAAACTTTACCCCCCCTTGCCTTCCACAATGCCATGATCTAAAATCTAACTCTTTATTTAAACTTTTCCCACCCTTGCCTTCCACAATGCCATCATCTAAAATCTAACTCTTTATTTAAACTTCCCCCACTTGCCTTCCTCAATGCCATCATCTAAAATCTAACTCTTTATTTAAACTTTACCCCTTGCCTTCCACAATGCCATCATCTAAAATCTAACTCTTTTATTTAAACTTTACCCCCCCTTGCCTTCACATGCCATCAATCTAAAATCTAAACTCTTTATTAACCGTTCACCCCGCCTACCTACCACCCGCCCCCCTTGTAAGTCGGCCCTTCCACAAAATGCAATCATCTAAAATCTAACTCTTTTATTTAAACTCCCCCCCCCCCTTGCCTTCCACACTGCTTATTTAAACTTTCCTCCCCCTTGCCTTCCACAATGCCATGATCTAAAATCCGACTCTTGATTTAAGCTTCCCCCCCTTGCCTTCCACAATGCCATCATCTAAAATCTAACTCTTTATTTAAACTTTTCCCCCCTTGCCTTCCTCAATGCCATCCTCTAAAATCTAACTCTTTATTTAAACTTTTCCCCCCCTTGCCTTCCTCAATGCCATCATCTAAAATCTACCTCTTTATTTAAACTTCCCCCCCTTGCCTTCCACAATGCCATCATTTAATTCAACTCTTTATTTAAACTTTACCCCCACCCCCCCTTGCCTTCCACAATGCCATCATCTAAAATCTAACTCTTTATTTAAACTTTACCCCCCCCTTGCCTTCCACAATGCCATCATCTAAATTCTAACTCTTTATTTAAACTTTACTCCCCCTTGCCTTCCACAATGCCATCATCTAAAAGTAACTCTTTATTTAAACTTCCCCCCCCTTGCCTTCCACAATGCCATCATCTAAAATCTAACTCTTTATTTAAACTTTACCCCCCCCACAATGCCATCATCTAAAATCTAACTTTTTATTTAAACTTTAGCCCTCCTTGCCTTCCACAATGCCATCATCTAAAATCTAACTCTTTATTTAAACTTTACTCCCCCTTGCCTTCCACAATGCCATCATCTAAAATCTAACTCTTTATTTAAACTTTTCCCCCCCTTGCCTTCCACAATGCCATCATCTAAAATCTAGCTGTAGTAGTAGCTGTAGGAGTAGTAGTAGTAGTAGTAGTAGTAGTCGTAGTCGTAGTCGTAGTCGTAGTGGTAGTGGTAGTGGTAGTGGTAGTGGTAGTGGTGGTGGTGGTGGTACTAGTAGTAGTAGTAGTAGCAGCAGTAGTAGTAGTAGTAGCAGCAGTAGCAGTAGCAGTAGCAGTGGTAGTAGTGGTAGTAGTAGTAGTGGTACTAGTACTAGTACTAGTACTAGTAGAAGTCGTAGAAGTCGTAGAAGTCGTAGAAGTCGTAGAAGTCGTAAAAGTCGTAGAAGTCGTAGAAGTCGTAGAAGTCGTAGAAGTCGTAGAAGTCGTAGAAGTCGTAGAAGTCGTAGAAGTCGTAAAAGTCGTAGAAGTCGTAGAAGTCGTAGAAGCCGTAGAAGTAGAAGAAGCCGTAGAAGTAGTAGAAGTAGTAGAAGTAGTAGAAGTAGTAGAAGTAGTAGAAGTAGTAGAAGTAGTAGTAACTACTTTACCTTCTACGAGGGGCACAAGCGAGAACAAAACGGGGGCACAAGCGAGAAAATTTTGGGGGCACAAGCGATGCAGCGACCATTCAGGGCTCCACCCAAATCAAAACTGGCAGCTGAATTCATGGGCCCGACATGCAGAAAATGAATTAGCTAGGTAGCAGTGATCTCATGGTTGATCGCTATTTTCTTTAAAATTTCTGGACAAACTAAAACTATTGGAAACCGCCAGCACAGTTGCCAAGACACCATAATCTTCACCGATGCTCCACGGGCAAGCTTTTTCATCACTGGCACCAAACGTTTCCACTCACCCAACGGCATTTCTTGGAAGCGTGACACGTTGAAGTAGGAACCTGAAGCGCGCAGCCGACCCCAAAGACGCAGAGCTGAAGGATTCGCCCCCGACGTGACAATAAACCACTTGATTTTTTGAGTACCGCACTTTAAGACAAATCCATGGCTTGGTATCATTTTGGCTTTGCCATGTGGTGCCGGCTGCCTACAATAATCATAAAACCAACAACCAGCCAGTTCAATGGAAAAGCTACTTGCATGGCGGCCCCCGGCGCCAGCAACAACTCACCCGAATTGATTTCCATGAGCTACGACTTCAAGAATGACAGCAACTACAACAACTACAACTACAGCTACAAATACATCTAATTACAGTATTACTGCTTCAACAGCATCATCTACAGCTTTTTTTGCTTCGCGCAAGCCGCAGCTGCAGCTGAGTGCAGAATCCAAGTGTTAGCTATCTGCTTCGCAGAACGAAACTGAACTTGTGAACCTTGCAACACCATGATCTTTTTTTTGGGTCTGAATCACGGAATAGGAGGAAAAAAATCAAATTATCAAACAAGGGGGGAGGAACAGAAGCAAAAGGAGCAAAAGGGTGTGTAGACATCCATTATTTCTGAAGCCGGGCCGGGAATATGCCCGCTTTCGATGACGAAACTTTCGGTGACGAAGCTTTCGGTGATGAAAACTTTCGTTGACGAAGCTTTCGGTGATGAAACTTTCGGTGAAGAGGTGTGCGATGGAGTGTCAGGAAAAATGTTGAGTCTTTGCTGGGCCAATTCGTTTACTAAATTTCTTTGAAGAATGTTGTTGATGTCAAACTGATCTACGTGACCACTTTCTCTATAAGCATCTGCATAGGTTTCGATTAGCCTGTGAGCTCTGGGTTGCCTACTCGTCTTGCATGTTCAGTTCTACGTATGAGTGAATTAGAAACAGGACCTGACGCATGGGATCTTGTGGGCCTGATCGAATGATGTGTTCTAAGAGCTGAATTTTTTCCCGAGAGCGTCTGAGCGCAGGGTTCTTCCAATAGTGGGGGTCTGTATCTCATCTTCTCATCTTCACACCTTCTCATCTTCACATCTTCTCATCTTCACATCTTCTCTCACACCTTCTCATCTTCACATCTTCTCTCACACCTTCTCATCTTCACATCTTCTCTCACACCTTCTCATCTTCACATCTTCTCTCCCACCTTCTCATCTTCACATCTTCTCTCACACCTTCTCATCTTCACATCTTCTCTCCCACCTTCTCATCTTCACATCTTCTCTCCCACCTTCTCATCTTCACATCTTCTCTCACACCTTCTCATCTTCACATCTTCTCTCACACCCTCTCATCTTCCCATCTTCTCTCACACCTTCTCATCTTCACATCTTCTCTCACACCTTCTCATCTTCACATCTTCTCTCACACCTTCTCATCTTCACACCCTTCTCTCACACCTTCTCATCTTCACATCTTCTCTCACACCTTCTCATCTTCACATCTTCTCTCACACCTTCTCATCTTCACACCTTCTCTCACACCTTCTCATCTTCTCTCTTTCTCACTCTCTTTCTCACTCTCTCTCCTTTCTCTCTCTCCTTTCTCTCTCTCCTTTCTCTCTCCTTTCTCTCTCCTTTTTCTCTCTCTCGCCTTCTTTATCTTTCTCTCTTTAGGCCGAGGGTGGTACCGGCGGTGAGTCACGAAACGTCAACCCTTTCGCACGAAATGAGGGTCGATCGTCAAAAACTGAGGAAAAATTGCGATTTTACTTCAACCCTTTCGCACGAAAGTCAAAAACTGAGGAAAAATTGCGATTTTACTTGTGCCGGAGCAACCCTTTCGCACGAAATGAGGGTCGATCGTCAAAAACTGAGGAAAAATTGCGATTTTACTTGCCCCCGAGCAACCCTTTCGCACGAAATGAGGGTCGATCGTCAAAAACTGAGGAAAAATTGCGATTTTACTTGCCCCCGAGCAACCCTTTCGCACGAAATGAGGGTCGATCGTCAAAAACTGAGGAAAAATTGCGATTTTACTTGCCCCGGAGCAACCCTTTCGCACGAAATGAAGGTCGATCGGCAAAAACTGAGGTAAAATTGCGATTTTACTTGCCCCGGAGCAACCCTTTCGCACCAAATGAGGGTCGATCGTCACAAACTGAGGAAAAAATTGGTCGATTTTACTTGTGCCGGAGCAACGCCTTTCGCACGAACTGATGTCGATCGTCAAAAACTGAGGAAAATTTGATTTTTATACTTGTGTGTAAAGGAGTCTGTGTGTAAAAGCGTCTGTGTGTAAAAGCGTCTGTGTGTAAAAGTGTTTGTGTGTACAAGTGTTTGTGTGTAAAAGCCTCTGTGTGTAAAAGCGTCTGTGTGTCAAAGCGTCTGTGTGTAAAAGCGTCTGTGTGTAAAAGCGTCTGTGTGTAAAAGACTGTGTGCAAAAGCGTCTGTGTGTAAAAGCGTCTGTGTGTCAAAGCGTCTGTGTGTAAAAGCGTCTGTGTGTCAAAGCGTTTGTGTGTAAAAGTGTTTGTGTGTAAAAGCCTCTGTGTGTAAAAGCGTCTGTGTGTAAAAGCGTCTGTGTGTAAAAGCGTCTGTGTGTAAAAAGCGTCCGTGTGTAAAAGCGTCCGTGTGTAAAAGCGTCCGTGTGTAAAAGCGTCCGTGTGTAAAAGCGTCCGTGTGTAAAAGCGTCCGTGTGTAAAAGCGTCCGTGTGTAAAAGCGTCTGTGTGTAAAAGCGTCTGTGTGTAAAAGCGTCTGTGTGTAAAAGCGTCTGTGTGTAAAAGCGTCTGTGTGAAAGCGTCTGTGTGTAAAAGTCTCTGCGGGTAAAAGCCTCTGTGTGTAAAAGTCTCTGTGTGTGAAAGAGCCTGTGTGTAAAAAGCGTCTGTGTGTAAAAGCGTCTGTGTGTAAAAGCGTCTGTGTGTAAAAGGCTCTGTGTGTAAAAGCGTCTGTGTGTAAAAGCGTCTGTGTGTAAAAGAGCCTGTGTGTAAAAGTGTCTGTGTGTAAAAGCGTCTGTGTGTAAAAGCGTCTGTGTGTAAAAGCGTCTGTGTGTAAAAGTCTCTGCGGGTAAAAGCCTCTGTGTGTAAAAGTCTCTGTGTGTAAAAGCGTCTGTGTGTAAAAAGCGTCTGTGTGTAAAAGGCTCTGTGTGTAAAAGCGTCTGTGTGTAAAAGCGTCTGTGTGTAAAAGAGCCTATGTGTAAAAAGCGTTTGTGTGTAAAAGCGTCTGTGTGTAAAAGCGTCTGTGTGTAAAAGCGTGTGTGTGTAAAAGCTTCTGTGTGTAAAAGCTTCTGTGTGTAAAAGCGTCTGTGTGTAAAAGCGTCTGTGTGTAAAAGTGTTTGTGTAAAAGTGTTTGTGTGCAAAATCGTCTGTGTGTAAAAGCATCTGTGTGTAAGAGTCTCTGTGTGTAAAAGTCTCTGTGTGTAAAAGTCTCTGTGTGCAAAAGCGTCTGTGTGTAAAAGCGCTGTGTGTAAAAGGCTCTGTGTGTAAAAGCGTCTGTGTGTAAAAGTGTCTGTGTGTAAAAGAGCCTATGTGTAACAAGCGTCTGTGTGTAAAAGCGTCTGTGTGTAAAAGCGCCTGTGTGTAACAGCTTCTGTGTGTAAAAGCTTCTGTGTGTAAAAGCGTCTGTGTGTGTGTAAAAGTCTCTGTGTGTAAAAGTGTTTGTGTGTAAAAGTGTTTGTGTGCAAAATCGTCTGTGTGTAAAAGCGTCTGTGTGTAAAAGTCTCTGTGTGTACAAGTCTCTGTGTGTAAAAGTCTCTGTGTGCAAAAGCGTCTGTCTGTAAAAAGTTCTGTGTATGAAAAACTTTACAAAAATACGATGCAAACTATTGTCTTGTACTAGTCATATATTGTCTTGATACTACTCTTCTCGTCTGCCTATAATACATCTTTAATATAGTGTCTCCATACTAACAACAGAAGACTCTGCTCCTCTACGCTCTCGGGCCATCCGTCGTCTAGTTCTTTTCAACCATAATTTTGAGAATTCTACAGCTGTTACACCATAATGATTTTTTGACAAGTTCTTTTACCGATGCATTGGTCATTGTTCTGTCAACGCTTGTGGGTGGGATATGTAGAATTCTCCGATATCCTTTGATCTGAAAAGCATCTAATCTATGAAGTTCTGACTGGTTAAGTTGGATAGTTGCCAATGTTCCCAACCCATATAAAAACTTACTCAACTACAACTACAACTACAAACTACAACTACAGCTACAACTAATATTACCTTGCACTACACCACACCACACTACATCCAGCAGTTGTGGGTGAGGTGACCACTAAAACCACTCCACAAAGCACAACCACCTTTCGTTGCCATCCATGCATCACAACAACTCACCTTTCCTATAGTTTCCTATCTTTGAGACTTCCGCGACCGCCTTGTGCCGTACTACTGGCATTGTTTCTTTAAATTGTTTTGGCAAATTTGGGAAAAGGAGTCCCAAAACCATCCGACTTGTTTGTCATTTAATAATTTTAATATTGGGCACCACCACAGACCACGACTCTTGGGTGTCTCCAATTTTGAACAAAACCCGCGTTGCCCGCCATGATTTTCAGAAAGAAACCATTCTCCAGCTGCAGGTAGATTCCACGATCCGCATCGGGATCTGGCAGTCGGCACGGAGGGGCTATGTTTCCGGTGGCCGGCGGACGTCCATGCGACTTGCAGCCCAATGACGTTTGGGAAGCCCGAATTTCAGAGAACGCTTGTGCCAGATTGGAAAGGAATGGCATGCTCAAGCCATGGGGATAAATGAGAGAAAGCAAGATCAAGCCAAAGCACAGGATGACAAAGCAGAAACATGGCAAAATACGCAGGTGTGCAAATCTTTGTGCACTCCCCGACATCTATTGACTTGCTGTTCATCGGACATCACCCATTCTCTGGCAACACTCAGTTCCAAAAGCCACTCGTGCCCTGAATGATTGCTGAGCCTCGAGCTGAGTCTGCAGGCAGGTGCTCACTCACTTGATGCTACCCCCTATTCACATTGATCCATATTCAACGCAACAGAGATACATTGTTTTTTGGCAGTTAATGATTCTTTCTTTGGTGTTTGGCCTACTGGCTCAGGTTGCCAGAATGAGAACTCGCAATGACCAGGTCAAAAGTAAAGCTCCCAGTCAAATCCCAACCCTGCGGGTGCCAACACAGCAGCAACGGTGAAACGGATCAACAAATAACAATCTTGAGGTAAACCCCCACGTTCTGTTTTTCTGCCCTGATGTCGCTTCACGTCGCTTTCGGGCAACCGAAAGTCTTTGTCAGTTTCACGTAACTCTTCTATTTCTCTCCTGACTGAGTGAGTGGAGTGGAGTGGAGTGGAGTGGAGTGGAGTGGAGTGGAGTGGAGTGGAGTGGAGTGGAGTGGAGTGGAGTGGAGTGGAGTGGAGTGGAGTGGAGTGGAGTGGAGTGGAGTGGAGTGGAGTGGAGTGGAGTGGAGTGGAGTGGAGTGAGTGGAGTGAGTGGAGTGAGTGGAGTGAGTGCGTGGAGTGAGTGCGTGGAGTGAGTGCGTGGAGTGAGTGCGTGGAGTGAGTGCGTGGAGTGAGTGCGTGGAGTGAGTGCGTGGAGTGAGTGCGTGGAGTGAGTGCGTGGAGTGAGTGCGTGGAGTGAGTGCGTGGAGTGAGGGCGTCGAGTGAGGGCGTCGAGTGAGGGCGTCGAGTGAGGGCGTCGAGTGAGGGCGTCGAGTGAGCGCGTGGAGTGGAGAGGAGAGGAGTGGAGAGGAGTGGAGAGGAGTGGAGAGGAGTGGAGTGGAGAGGAGTGGAGAGGAGTGGAGTG